TTGGCAGATTTTGATGATCCCTCATGGAAGGCCTCACTCTCCTTGGAATGTGGGGGGGGTTGTCTGGGGCATTGGAGGATGGGAGGGAGAGGGAACTGGGATTGATATGCAAAATAAGAGTGTTTCTAATTTAAATAAAATCTATTAAGAAATACAAAGTGTTCTTACAACTCAGTTAAAAATCGGTATTTATGACCTTGGGACTTCATTCCTGATGGGACTATAATATATCTTTTGGATAGTATAGCAGGCTTTCTTGTGGACTATCGTTGAACCACTAGCCTGCAAATAATGACCCAGAGACTTATTATTAATTTTGAAAGCTTGGCCTTTAGCTTAGGCTTTTCTCAGCTAGCTCCTGTAACTTCAATCAACCCATATTTTTAAATCTGTGTTCTGCCACATGGCGTTGCCTCTCTTCCATCTTGCACCACCTGTCTCTTCTCGGCATCTGATTGGAGACTCCTCCTTTCTTCTTTCCAGAGTCCTCTCTGTCCCCCAGAAGTCCCACCTAACCTCTTCCTGTCTAGCTATTGGCCATTCAGCTCTTTATTAAACTAATCAGAAGGCCCCTTGGGAAAGACACATCTTCACCGTGTAAACAAACATTCCACAACAGTGTGGTAGTAGCTATAGATCATGCATATCTGTGAAATATGCAAACATTCCTATTTCAGTAATACGGATTTCTAACTCAGCAACTTGCTTTATTCACCTTACTTTGAATGGTCTATATTTTCTCCAGTTTACAGAAGTATCACTGACAAATAAAAATGGTATGTATTTAAGATGTGCAATGTGATATTTTTATACACACTGTGACATCATTGGCACAATCAAGCTAATTAACATATCCATCGCCTCACATACATACTGTTTTTCTAGTAGGAATTCAAGGTCTAGTCTATTCTTGAAATTAAGTACACAATTCACTATCATCAACCATAATTACCATGCTTCACTTAGAATGTATTCATCCTGGATAACTCAAACCTTGTATCTTTTTTTCAGACAGTTTCATGTTATCTAAGCCAGGAGCTTTCTACATAGCTTTCTACATAAAAATTACCTTTAAGCTCCTGATTCTCCTGCCTCCAATCCCAAGTACTGCAACCACAGGTATGCGTTAATACACTTAGTCTATGCAGTACCCAGAACTTTGTGCATGTTAGGCAATCACTCTGCAGACTAAGATATATATATGTATGTATGTATGTATATATATATGTATGTATGTATGTATATATATGTATGTATGTATGTATGTATGTATGTATGTATATGTATGTATGTATGTATGTATATATATGTATGTATGTATGTATGTATATATATGTATGTATGTATGTATGTATGTATGTATATATATGTATGTATGTATGTATGTATGTATGTATATGTATGTATATATATGTATGTATGTATGTATGTATGTATGTATGTATGCATGTATGTATGCATGTATGTATGTATGTATGTATGCATGTATGTATCCAGCCCAAAAGCTTTGTGCTTTTTAAAAGCCTTCACTCCCCAAACCCTAGCATTCATGGCTCTACTCACCAGTCACTGAAAGGCTTTACCTTGTTTTTGTTGTTGTTTTGTTCTATGAGTTTGACTTTGTAAGACTCCACATGCAAGTGGGGTAGATCATAGAATATTTGGGTTTATAAGCCTCATTTGATTTAATTAACATACATATCTTTCATATTCATCTATGCTGTCACAATTAATAGGATTAATGTTAAGGTTGCACAATATTCCATTATATTTAAAAGCCACCTTAAGTTGGTGGGATATCTTGATGGATGTAATACAACGTGGTTCAAATATCACTTCAAGGTACTGGTTTCATTTCCTTTGAACATACAGCTGACTCCTGTAACACCAGTTGCTCAACTCGGTAAGTCTGTTTTTAGGCAAACTTTTTTTCCACCTTGTAACAATTAGAAAAATTCAAAAATCATGCCTATAAGCTATATGTATTTGTGTAATTATGACATACCTAAACTTCTATTCTTTCATGATTGCATAAACATATTTAGCTTGTAGTCTATTTTACAACTTGTTACCATAAACACATATAAATCTATTATAAAAATATTCTTTTCATGTGGCTCTGTGGCGCAATGGATAGCGCATTGGACTTCTAGTGATGAAAAATATTCTTTTCAAAACTTTTGTGCATGTATACAGTGTCATTCATAGTTGAAAGGCGTGCAAACATCAACTGCTTCTGTGGACATTAATTATTCTGTATGATACACACTGTAGTGATTTCTTAGTCAAAGCATCATGTGACAGGACTGTTTCAGAAGAACCTTTTCCTGATGCATAGGAGGAAAAGAGGCAATACAAGAAGAGCCAAAAGCAATATATAGATCACAAAGCCATGCCCCTGATGACCTACTTCCTCTAAGGACTTCCTGCATCCTACCTGTAACTGCTTCCCGATAAAGCTACTAAGGTACGAGTCCATCGAAGACTTAGCCAATTTTCTAAGTGACACTCCCTCCTAAACTCATTTCTAGAAGCATCATTAGACCCATTAACCTCTCAGGTGTTTCTTAGTTCAGTCAAGCTGACAACGAAGAGCAGCCATCCCAACAGATATGTCCGCTCACATTGTCACTGTCCCCAATGGATATCTGCTGATGACAATATCTCAGCAAAGCTGAGCAGAAGAAGCCAGCTTTTTCTGGCAAGGTGAGCATGTGTTCCCTTTATTGTGTTCCCTGTGGGTGTATGTTTCCCTTGATGTGTTCCCCCCTCCTCACCCAGGACTTCATTTATCAACCTAAGAGGAAGCTAAGAGTAAGTTTAATGGAGTTTCTCCAATCCAAAGAGACAGGTGGAGCACAGTTCCTATAGGAACAAAAAAAATGCACATGTGACCCAGCTCCAAGCCACAGAGAGGGAGTTAGAGAGTTGCACAGCAAGGTCATTGGCATTGGAATCAAACCATATACCTGTGTTAGAATCTAGAGTCCTCCATATTCTCATCACGTCATCTGGCATGATTAAGCTTCCAGCCTTCTGGTTACTCTCGTGTGACTTATATGAATCCCTCCACTTAGGACTATGGGAAGAAGTAAACAGGATAATGTAGGCCCACAGCCAGAGCCCATGTACACTGTGTCCAAACTGTGCTAAATATGCAGGATCTGAGCAAGTGGGGGGGCAGCCAGCAAAGACGTATTAGTTGACATGATTTCATAAGCAATTGCATGCCTTGGGAAATAGATAACCAAGAGAAAGGATTTTGAAACCATATTATGAGGTAGGAGACTATTATGCCTTGAGTGTGAAATGTCCCCCCACAAGCTTTGTCCCCAGTAGGTGGCTTTGCTTTGGAAGCTTGCAGAATTTTTTAGAGGTAAGGCATAGCCAGAAGAAATAGGTCACTGGTCAGTGGGTTCTATATGCTTTAGCCTGGTCTCTGGTTTGGGCCCAACCTCTCTTCTTCTTTGTCCATTGAGGTGTAAGAAAGTTCCTATGTCCTTCCTGATGGGATGGACTATATCTCTCCTACAGTGGGCTAGAATAAATATGTCCTCCCTGTATTGTCCTGTAAGCTTGACACAAATTAGAGTCATCTGAAAGAAAGGAACCTCAATTGAGGAAATGCCTCCATAATCAGGGTATAAGGCGCTTTCTTAATCAGTTATCAATGGGGAAGGTCCCAGCCCGTATGTGTGTGTGTGTGTGTGTGTGTGTGGAGGGGGTTCTATGCCTGGGCTCGTAGTCCTGGGTTCTATAAGAAAGCAGGCTGAGCAAACCATGTGAAACAAGCCAGTAAGGAGCACTTCTCCATGGCCTCTGCATCAGCTCCTGCACTCCAAGACCCTGCCCTGTTTGAGTTCCTGTCCTGACTTCCTATAATAGTGAATAGCAACTTGGAAGTGTAACACAAATAAGCCCTTTTCCTCCCAACCTGCCTTTTGGTCATGCAGCAACAGAAACCCTAACTAAGACACTCCCTTGTGCCGCCTCCCCAAGTGACTAATCCAGAGACCAGACAACTCTCTCCATATCAACTCCCCAGGTCTTCTTTTTCAATAGGTGTTTATGATACAAAGACACTGTGAGAAATGTGTTACACTTACTTGAAAGAATACATAACAGCCTTAAAAGTAATACATTATTATTGATTATAAAGATAAGGGGAGGAAGCTTTTAGAGGTAAAAATAGCTTCTAGTGGGATAACTATTCATAGTAATTATCATCAGTTAGTCAGGATTCATTTTTTGGAAACTTTCTTTTCCTAACTATAATTTCTAAAATTTATTCAAACAAGGAGGGTTAATTTTACACTTAAATATAACAATTTTGAATATTGTTTAAGGATGTAGAAATTTTAGTGTTAGAATAAAACATTCTTCTACATAGGTAGTGTTATTGGAAAAGCACAGTAGAAAAATTTTAGACACAGATAATTTTGATTGTTTTTCAGATGGAGAGAGAACAGGAAATGAATACAATGTCACAAGTAAGTTCTCTAGGCACTTGCCTTTCCCAGATGTCTTCAAGGACCTTGGGCTTGCTGACATTACCAAACAATTTGCTAAATTTGCCAGCTGCTCAGCCGTTAATATTGGGCTACTTACCTTTCAGACCAAATCCTCCCAAACTTTCTAAAGCAATTAGAACTCTCATCCCTACTCTACCCAATATCAGCTGTAATCCCAACCATTCTGGAGGCTGCACTGGTTACATTTTAATGCCATTTTGATACAACTAGAGTTACTTGGGAAGTGGGAGCCTCCGTTGAAAAATCGACTGGATGAGTCAGGCGTTTGGCCATGTTTGTGAGAGACTGCTGAAGTTGATGTAGCCCGTACCTAGGCAGGTGGTCCTGGGCTGGGTGAGAAAGTGAGCTGAACAGGAGGGAGAGAAACCTAGTAGGGAGCATTCCTTCATGGCTTCTTAATTCAGTTCCTTCTTGAGTTCTCGCCCTGCCTGACTTCCTTCGGTGATGGACTGTGACCCGGAAGTATAAGATGAAACAAACCCTTCCCTCCAGCAAGTTGCTGCTGGTCAGCGTTTATCGCAACAGAAGGCAGACTAGAACAGAGGCTCATGTGGCAGGATCATGAAATAAAAGGCTGCCAGGGCTCCAGAGTGAGTTCAAGTTCATCCTGGGCGGCGAAACAAGATCCTGTCTCAAAAGAAAAGGAGAGCTGGGATTCCGGCCAGTGGTGGTGCGCTTGCCCAGCATGTGTGAGGCCCCAGGTACATTCCTACCACAGAAAGGGAAGAGTGTGTAAGAAAGAGAGTTCTGTTTTGTTTTAAATCCTCATTAACACAGTTGAAACCTTAGTTTGGAATGAACTTGGGTCTCCTTTATTCCCAGCTGACTTTTGCCTCACCCCTGCCAGAACGCCATTCGAAGAGATTAGCTACTGGGTTTTAATGGGACTTGAAATACCAGGGGAAATGAACATTTGTTAGTATTTCAGAACTATCATGTTCCCTCAGTTCACTGATATTGAACGAGTGATTAAAATCAGATCTCAGACCAAACTCACCTGGCTTCACCCCGAGTGATCAGCACTGGCCTTTGCCTGGTAGGGTACTAAGTCCTAAAAATTCCACCCCCCTGTGACTTAGACTCATCCAGATCCAGCTTGAGGATTTATTGTCCAATGGAGACAGAATCCTCTTTACCTAGAAAGGGTGGTCACACCAGGTCATGCTGGATGGAACTAAACAAGTACATTAAAGCCTCGGCTGGCAGCTGTCTTTGCCTATTAGGTAGTCTTTGCCCTGGGGCAGATGGTGCTGGCAGCCATACACAATCAGCCTGGACACTCACAGGCTTTGGCTTTTTGGATTGTGTACATGTGTGCACACATACATACAAATGTATACGGATTACCGACACTTCCATCCTGTGTAGTTTCTAGGCTGGTCTGTCTCATGTCTCTTCAGGGCCCTCTAGCTCAGTGCTTGTTACACAGTCAACAGTCTACTGATTTGTGGCATCCCTGGCTAAATAAGTAAATGGTAAGTAAATATCCACAGAAAATATGCCAAAGAAAAGACACAGTCCATGTGGATTTTCTCTGTTTGTTACTATTTTGTTTCTTTGAGAGAGGTTCTCCCATAGCCCAAGCTGGTCTAGAACTCTTGATGCACCGGAGATTGATGGTGAATTTCCGATCCTCCTGCCTCTACCTCTTGAGTGATGGGATTGCCATGCCGGGTTTTATGTGGTACCAAGCACTGAACTCTGTCCTTTATCAATACCAGGCAAGCACTTTACTAGCTGAGCTCCATCCTGAGGCCTCGAATGCATTTTTCTGTAAAGTTAGCCGGCAGGTACAGTGGAGTGTCGCCACAGTGAGTGTCCCCTCTCTAGTTGGGTTGTGCTACAGTGGGTGTCGGGTGGAAGGAATGTCTTGTTCTGTCCTTAGATGAATACTCTTCATACAGAGTAGTCCTGCTAGGGAGAGCTGTGCTCGGGAAGCAGAGCCACCTCAGGACGACTCCATCTCAGCTCATCCTCCGACTCAGGACAGCCTCGGGTAGAGCCGCAGGGAGAGCCAGAGGTGCCCAGTTAAAGAAATGGCAACTTTGCATAGTCCCCTGAGCCTGGTGCTGCAGTGAGGCAGGGATCCAAGCCCAAATATAGACCTCACAGTGACAGCAGGAATTTGCATCGTGGTGCCTGGCATTACTTGCTGTTTCCATTATAATGGTCACAGCCATTAACTTGGCAATTGCTTTTATCTGAACACCTATAGACTAAGCTTGCGGTTCCCCAGAGCTTCGTTTGTGATTGCTATAACCTCTCCAGAACACACAGTTACTTACATGTTACAAAAGAGAAAAATTGGAAAAGGCTCAACAACTTACTGGGATCATAGCTGGATAAAGGCCTTTCTCCCCATCTCAAAAAGCCATTAACTTGCCCTGCACAGGGACCTGTGCCTGTAGTCCCAGCCATGCACAAGGCTGAGGCAATGGGATCCCTTCAACCAGGGGTCCCATGCCTGCCTTAGCAGTACAGTGAGACCTCATCTTTTAAAAATAAATAAATAAATAATGATGTGGCAGTAACCAGACATGTTGCTTCTGTCCGGATTCCCAAAGACCCTAGAGGGTGAGAAAGGAAGGCCAGAAGAGGGACTTAGATCCCCAGGACTGGAGTTACAGACAGTTGTGAGACATCGTGTGGGTGCTGAGAATCAAACCCAGGTCCTCTGGGAGAGCAACCAGTGCTGATGACTGCTGAGCCATCTCTCCAGCCCCCCCCATCTATTTTTTTAACTACTGAAATTAGCACATAAATGTACAAAGGTCATACATAGACTGTAAGCTGAATATACTGTAAGGACAAGGTAAACTGGTCATCCTCAGAAAAAGCCACCTTGAGAAATTCCCTTCATGGCACAAGGCTGATTCAGCTCCAGCCAAGGCACCATAAACAGTTCCAAGGAGCACCTAAACTGCCCACCCTGGTCAAAGTGACCCCATCCGGGCAACCAGGCAATGACTAATTTTGATAGGAAGAAAATGTTAGTGTAGTGAAAGTCTCAAGTGGACTAGCTACAACATTTGTACCCAGTCTCTGTTTGGAGGGAGATGCTTGATTGAAGTTCTTGAAAGAAGTGCTAATGTTGATTGAAGCTCTTGTCTGAGGCCCTGGCCAGAGTATAGAAGATGTACCATATCAGTTAATTAGTCTGGAGTTGTGTAGAGCAAGGTAGTCCCAAACCGGTTTCAGGGTGGTATTTGTCAGTTCAGATGCATCAAGTTTGATCAGGTGGAATTGATGAAGTGGAGCCCGATTTTCTTTACGAAGTGTTGCAGATTGTTGTTAAGAAATTGTTCTCTGTTAAAAACTCAAACATTAATGTCAACAAAGAAATGTCAACGTGTGTATATATATATATATATGCATACCAGGAAAGGCAACAATAAGGAAGATAGTAAATATAAGGGAAATTAGACTTTCAGAGAAAGAACCGAGTATAGCCAGATGACAGTTCCTAGATTTTGTTTTCTTCTGTCTTACATCAATTGACTCCTTGATATGATACAGAAACTCTGAATATTGTTTTAACAACATGCTTGGATTTAGAGGAGGAGAGCCAAATCCAAATCCAAAGCCAGCATTTGTTTAAGTGAATTGGGACCAAAAGAGTATTAGAAAGTAAAGAGAAATAGATGTTATAAGGACAAAAGTTAAGAAAATTAGGCATTGATACCAAATATCAGATTCTTTTCTGTTTGATGGTTCTTTGAGTAGCCATCCTCTCTTCTTTAGGTATCCACATGTTCAGTATCTTCTCACTATTTGGAGACAGGTTTTCCTTTGAAGACAAGAACAAAACCCTTAGCTTTCCTTTGGGAGGTCTCCATATACCTTGTGGAATATGAGCTGTCATCTTTCTTCCTCCCGAGGTTTCTCCTGTTCGGATCAAATCTTGATCCTCTCTTTATTAACAAATAATGTAGCAATACAGGGCTTTCTTTCACAAATATAAGAAACTATAGGTGTGTTTTCTAATTTAGTATTTTCTAGCATACTTATGGTGGATAAAAGTCCTATTGTACCTAGTGACTTTTAAAGTCTAGATGACATGAATGCTGGGTGCCAGACATCTAATCCACAGATTAAATCTACTCTGGAATCATGAATTATTTTTCAGGGTGCTGATATGATGTTAACAGTCTCCATCCTCTTGGCAATGCTTCGCACATGGTAAACAGTTTTTAAGCTGATGCTAGTGTGCTTTTTGGAGCAAGCACACCACTTTTAAAGCAGAGACTGTGGGATGGTTCCAAGACTAATCGTAAGGCATAACTGATACTTTAGCTGTGCCCATCACTGACTCTTCCTCAGGGGAACCATGCCTGCCGCATTTATAGTAGGTGTAAAGGAATTCTGTTCACGTTAAATAATGTGGAGGTAAGTGTTGTCAAAGTTAACATCTCAGCATTTTTCTGGGGGTGGGCTGTCCTGCAGAACCTGAGACGATGATGGAGAGATTCTATGAGTTTGTAAGTCACGGGGGTCTTTCTGTTCTGAAAATGAACTAAGGCCTAAAGGTCTCTTTTACGGGTGAAACAGAATAATGGGAAACAAAGATTGGGATTCATTCTTTCCAAAGAAAAAAAGCAAGGACCTCAATTCTCATTATTGAGGAAAAAAATGGGTAGAGATTTGAAACAGGGCTAGCTGGGGGTCTGTGATTAAAACCAAATGATTAGCAGTAAGATCCTGTCCTGATATTAATTTTGAACAGCAGGTAAAGAAGCCAAGCTTACATTGGGAATTAAACAAATTGTATTAGCTGTTGTGGGGTAGCTGTGAAACCTCTCAAAACTCATGTGTTGAAGGCTTAGCCAGAACTGGAGTTTTGGGGGGGAGTGATTGGATCATAATGATTTAATCCCATTGACCCATTGATTATCTGATGGACTTATTGAGAAGGGGCAGCCACAAACAAGCAAAAAAACCTCAGCACCTATCTGCAATTTGACAGATTTTTAAAAAGAGGTCTCAGGAAAAACAAAGACAAAACAAAACAATAAACAACTAACCCAGCCAAGGCCATGATTTTAGACTTCAGCTTTTAGAACTATGAGAAAATAAATCTTAGTTGTTTAAGTATCTGTGGTGGTTTGTTATTGTAGTCTCAGCAATCTAACCCATTCTGTGCTCTGTGTTTACTGGGTCTCATGTTCATGGATCCAATCAATCAAGGACAGAAAACTACATCTGTACTGCATATGTATAGACTTTTCTTGCCGATTTTCCTAAACAGTGTATTATTTATGCAGTATTTACAATACGCTAGTCATGTAGGTAATCCAGGGGTGATTTAAAACATATAGGAAGGTGTGGATAGTTTATATACTCATTCTTTGTAGTCATTTAGTATAAGGAACTTGGGCATCCATGGGCTTGGGTATCCAAAGTGTTCAAAACCCATCTCCTATCCTAATGATGGGACTATCGTAATTTAATTAAGCAAACAAACTTGGGATAGAGGAGAGACAGAACATCAGTTAATGGGTTAATTTGATCTATATCTACTTCTTATACATAAAACAGAAATTTTCACATAAAATGTTTGCATTTATGATGTCTTCTTTGTAACATATAATTACAATATATGGATGCCTAGGTTTCTAAAGCGGCTTCAAATTATGTTGTTTTGATACATCTGAGTCTTGAAATCATTCGTTTGGAAGATTTTAATTTTCGTAAGTACCTGATTCTTAATTTCAGTTAATGAGAAAAGGAGACATTTCAGAAAGTGATCCATGGACTCTGTGAAAGAAAGCGGATCAGCCAAGCAGGAAAGATACGTCTTAGAGGTGAGTCTGGGGGTGATCCTTTCTGCTGCCTCATCTGTCATTCTCAGTTACCCTGCACCATAGCCCTTGGCCATAGTCTGGAATCTTGGGTGCTGAGTCCCAGCTCATTAGTGGCCACACAGGAGTGGGGGGGGGGGTCTTCATCGAAGAATCTGCTGATGGGGACCAGGGGAGGCTACTGTCTTGAGTCTGTCCCCTCTTTGTCAGATCAGTTTTAGACAAAGCTCTACTAGATAAGCGCCAGATAGCTAGTTTTCATTAAAAGGTCAAGGCTGCAATTGTTCCACAAAGCCCTTTTGTTAAGTAATGACTGCCAGGTTCAGAGAGCCAAAGGTTGCGCAGTTCCTGTATTCCCAGAGAAGAGTTGGGCTCCGGCTTGTAGAGCGTCGGTCATCAGCCTGGTTTGTGTATACGTTTCCTGGGAAAATCTAAATAAAATAGACTCAGTTGCCTCTGCAACTGAAACAAAGCAATCTCTCAGCAGCAGAGGTGCTGTGAGTTAGCAAATACTCATGTCAGGACAGAGCTGCCCAACGGAGCCTCTCACAGGGAATGTGCACCAGAGATCTGACACAGAAAAGAGGAAACACTGACATGTTGGAATCAACAGACGCTAGAGATGCGAACAGCAGCACAGAGCATCGGGGTACGACGTCTAGCAACTTGGGTACCGTCAGTTAAGTTCCCATTCAGTTGTCTAATTCCGTACCTTGTGCTTTGACAGAATACAGGAATTTGCATTCTGTCACCCTCTGCATGATTTATGAGCTAGATTCTCTCCATTTCTGATTCGGACTGGAAGGAGGGGGATTCCAGTGGAGGTAGGCGGAGCCATGAACTGCTTCTCAGGCTGTTGCCTCCAGAGGGAAAACTTCAATTTGAAGATTTTTGTCAAAAGTTTTTGGTTTGTTTCCTTCCTTTCCAACTTTGAAAACATCTGGGCATTTTTGCATTACTGCAGTGAATACCTACATTACTGGTTTCATTTAAAAATTCATTTAACTCCACCCACGGGACCAGGTAAACCAAGACCCATTTCCAGACCACCTGCATGTGCCTGGGCTGTGCCACTGCGGCTTCCATCCTGGCAGCTGAGGGAGCCAAGGTACCCTAGTTTCCTGCTCCACCCATGGGACTATAACTAGACTGGCTGCCTGTGCTTGGGGTCTACCGCTGCTTCTTACATCCCAGCAGCAGGAGCCAAGGCACCCCACCATTCCAGTCTCCTGCTCCACCCACGTATTAAGACTATCAGGGCCTGTCTCAGGCCACATTCCTGTGCCTGGGGACTACCACTGGGCTTCCATCCATCCCGGTTGGATCCAAAGCACTACAGCATCCTAGTCCATTTCTCCACCCCAAATATCAAGCCATCCACGTTCGTAAAAGAAACATTACTAAAATTCAAAGCACATATAAAACCTCACACACTTGTAGTGGGAGACTTCAACATCCCACTCTCACCACTAAACAGGACCACAAGACAGAAACTTAACAAGGATATGAAGAAACTAATAGAAGTTATGACTGAATAGGCTTTAATAGACATCTATATAACACTCCATCCAAACACAAAAGAATATACCTTCTTCTCAGCTCCACACAGAATTTTCTCAAAAATCCACCACATGCTTGGCAACATAGCAAACCTCAACAGATCTAAAAATTTGGAATAAACTCCATGTATCTTATCAGACCACCATGCATTAAAGTTAGAATTCAACAATAACATAAATCACAGAAACCTTCCAAACTCATGGAAATTGAATAATACACAATTACACCACTCCTGGGTCAAAGAAGAAATAAAAAAGAAATTAAAGACTTCCTAAGATTCAATGAGAATGAAGATACAACCTACCCAAACTTATGGGACATTTTTGTTGGAGGGAAGTCCTGTGCATTTGTCACTAAAGCACTGCTGGACAATAGGAATCTAGATAGATGGGACTAGAAGTCCAGGAGAACTCTGGGAAGGAGAAACACAGAGAGTTGAGATGTAACGCCATGGGGTAGGAAGCCCGGAACTATTCTCCGGTAAGAGAAATACTTAGATTAACAATTATGGGGTAATTACTTAAGTCAGAGCTAGCCAGTAAGAAACAAGCAAGGCCAACAGCTTCATAATTAATATAGCCTCCTGTGTGTTTATTTGGGACTGATGCGGCTCTAGAACCAGGCTGTCTGAAAGGCTTCTCTCAAGGAAAAGGTTTCCCTTTACACACTTTGAAAGCAGTGCTACGAGGGAAGTTCATAGCACTAAGTGCCCACAACATAAAATACCTTGGGGTAACGCTAACCAAACAAGTGAAAGACCTGTATCATAAGAACTTTGAATCTTTAAAGAAAGAAATTAAAGAAGCCCTCAGAAAATGGAAAGATCTCCCATGCTCTTGGATAGGTAGGATCAATGTAGTAAAAATGGCAATCCTGCCAAAAGCAATCTACAGATTCAATGCAATCCCCATTAAAATCCCAGCACAATTCTTCACAGACCTTGAAAGAACAATAATCAATTTTGTATGGAAAAACAAAAGACCCAGGATAGCCAAAACAACCCTGTTCAACAAGGCAACGTCCGGAGGCATCACCATCCCTGACCTCAAGCTCTATTATAGAGCTATAGTCCTGAAAACAGCTTGGTATTGGCACAAAAATAGACAGGTAGACCAATGGAATTGAATTGAAAACCCGGGTATTAACCCACACACGTACTAACATCTGATCTTTGACAAAGAAGCTAAAAATATACAATGGACTAAAGAAAGCATCTTCAACAAATGGTGCTGGCATAACTGGAGACTGGCATGTAGAAGAATGCTGATCGATCCATGTTTATCGCCATGCACAAAACTTAAGTCCAAATGGATCAAAGACCTCAACACTAAATTCAACCACACTGAACCTCTTAGAAGAGAAAGTGGGTGGTACCCTTGAACGAATTGGTACAGGAGACAGCTTCCTGAACATAACACCAGTAGCACAGACAGTGAGATCAACAAGTAATAAATGGGACCTACTGAAACTGAGAAGCTTCTGTAAGGCAAAGGACACAGTCAGCAAGACAAAAAGGCAGCCCACAGAATGGGAAAAATATTCACTAATCCCACATCTGACAGAGGGTTGATTTCCAAAATTTACAAAGAACTCAAGAAGCAAGTCTCCAAAACACCAAAGGACCCTATTAAAAAGTGGGCTGCAGAACTAAATAGAGAGTTTTCAATAGAGGAGTCTAAAATGGCTGAGAGGCACTTGAGAAAGTGTTCAACATCCTTAGCCATCAGGGAAATGCAAATCAAAACAACTCTGAGATACCATCTCACTCCTGTCAGAATGGCTAAAATCAAAAACACCAATGACAATTTATGCTGGAGAGGATGTGGTGAAAGGGGAACACTCCTCCATTGCTGGTGGGAGTGCCAACTGGTTCAGCCACTTTGGAAATCAGTATGGAGATTCCTCAGAAAAATGGGAATAAACCTACCACAAGACCCAGCAACTCCACTCTTAGGCATATATCCAAAAGATGCCCATTCATACAACAAAGATGTCTGTTCCACTATGTTCATAGCAGCTTTATTTGTAATAGCCAGAACTTGGAAGCAACCTAGATGTCCCTCAACCGAAGAGTGGATAGAGAAAATGTGGTACATCTACACAATGGAGTACTATTCAGCAGAAAAAAATAATGGAATCATGAGATTCGCAGGCAAATGGATGACACTAGAAGAAACCATCCTGAGTGAGGTAACCCAGTCACAAAAAGAGAAACATGGCATGTACTCTCTCATATATGGATTTTAGACATAGATCTGGGGAGTGCCAGCCTACAATCCTATGGCCAGAGAGTCTGGGAAACAGAAACTTCATTTAGTGGCTGATCGAAGAAGAGGCAGACTCCCTTGGTTAAGTACTGAGCTGAACTCAAGAAAGCCAGTAACAGAGAGGGAGGACTGGTGATCAAAGGGATTAAGACTGGGCTGGTTTAACCCCCAGAAACAGCTGACTAGACAAAGGTTAACTCTTGAAACCCAGGCATCAGCCTGGGAATCCAGCATGGGACTGATCAATACCCCCTGAATTTGGGTGTCAGTGAGGAGGCCTAGGGAATCTATTGAGCCTTGGGCAGCAGATCAGTACCCATCCCAAGTATACACACGGACTTTGGACTCCCATAAGAACAATGTGAGGTGCACTCTCACCCTGAACTCTTGGGGAAGGGTTTAGGCCCTGCCGTATATGAAATGACAGACTATGGACACCCCCATGGAGGGCCTCACCCTCCCTGGGGGAATGAGGGGATAAGGGGGGGTTGGGGGGAGGGCACGGGAGGAGGGGACGGAATGGGAGAGGGACCTGGAACTGACTTGTGAAGCAACCTCGTTTCTTATCTAAATTTAAACTGGAAAATAAAAAAAAAAGGAAAAAAAAAAAGAAACTGGGGAATACTTACACTAGAGAATTAACAACACAACAGAAAGCTCTAGAACAAAAGGAAGCAAACTCACCCCAGAGGAGCAGACACCAGGAAATAATTAAATTAAATTAAGGGCTGAAATCAATAAAGTAGAAACTAGGAAAATGATACAAAGAATCAATTTAATCAAGATTTGGTTCTTTGAGAAAATCAACAAGATAGACAAACCTTTATCCAAACTTATCAAACAGCAGAGTTTAATTCGCAAATTAACAAAATCAGAAATGAAAAGGGAGACATAACAACAGACATTGAGGAAATTCAGAGAATCATCAGGTCATATTTTGAAAAGCTAAATCAGAAATGAAAAGGGAGACATAACAACAGACATTGAGGAAATTCAGAGAATCATCAGGTCATATTTTGAAAAGCTGTACTCCACAAAATTTGAAAATTTAAAGGAAATGAACAATTTTCTGGATAAATATCACTTACCAAAATTATATCAAGAACAGATAAGCTATTTAAATAGTCCTATAACACCTAAGGAAATATAAGCAGTCATCAAAAGTCTCCCAACCAAAAAAAGCCCAGGACCAAATGGCTTCAGTGCAGAATTTTACCAGAAATTCCAAGAATAAGTTATACCAATTCTCCTCAAAGTATTCCATGCAATAGAAGCAGAAAGGTCTTTGCCTCTTTTTACGAGGCTTCAATAACATTGATACCCAAGTCACACAAAGATACAACTACGAAAGACAACTTCAGACCAATACCCTTCATGTCATGAACATTGATGCAAAAATACTCAATTAAATACTGGCAAATCCGATCTAAGAACACATCACAAAACTCATCCACCATGATCAAGTAGGCTTCATTACAGGGATGCAGGGATGGTTCAACATATGAAAATCCATCAATGTAATCCACCATATAAACAAGCTGAGAAACAAAAATCATATGATCATCTCACTAGATGCTGAAAAAGCCTTTGATAAAATCCAACATCCCTTCACGATAAAGGTCTTGGAGAGATCTGGGATAACAGGAACATAACTAAACATCGTAAAAGCTACATACAGCAAACCAACAGGCAACATCAAACTGAATGGAGAGAAACTCAACACAATTCCTCTAAAATCAGGAACAAGGCAAGGCTGTTCCCTCTTCCCATACCTCTTCAATATTGTACTCAAAGCTCTAGCTAGAGCAATAAGACAACTAAAGGAAATCAAGGGGATACAAATTGGAAAGGAAGAGGTAAAATTTTCATTATTTGCAGATGATATGATAGTTTACATAAGTGACCCAAAAAATCTACCAGGGAACTCTTACAGCTGATAAACGCCTTCAGCAAAGTGGCAGGATACATGACCAACTCAAGAAAATCAATAGCCCTACTATACACAGAGGATAAAAGAAGTAAATCAGAGAAACATCACCCTTTACAATTGACACAAACAACATAAAATACCTGGGGGTAACACTAACCAAACAAGTGAAAGACCTGTATCACAAGAACTTTGAGTCTTTAAAGAAAGAATTAAAGAAGACACCAGGAAATGGAAAGATCTCCCATGCTCTTGGATTGGTAGGATCAATGTAGTAAAAATGGCAATCCTGCCAAAAGCAATCTACAGACTCAATGCAATCCCCATCAAAATCCCAGCACAATTCTTCACAGACCTTGAAAGAACAATTCTCAACTTTATATGGAAAAACAAAAAACCCAGGATAGCCAAGACAAAGCAATGTCTAGAGGCATCACCATCCCTGTCTTTAAGCTCTATTATAGAGCTATCGTCCTGAAAAGAGCTTGGTATTGGCACAAAAATAGACAGGTAGACCAATGGAATCAAATTGAAAACCCTGAGATTAATCCACAAACCTATGGACACCTGATTTTCGACAAAGAAGCTAAAAGTATACAATGGAAAAAGGATAGCATCTTCGACAAATGGTGCTGACATAACTGGATATTGGCATGTAGAAGACTGCAGATAGATCCATATCTATTGCCATGCACAAAACTTAAGTCTAAATGGATCAAAGACCTCAACATAAATATAGCCACATTGAACCTGTTAGAAGAGAAAGTGGGAGGTACCCTTGAACAAATTGGTACAGGAGACAACTTCTTGAACATAACACCAGTAGCATAAACACTGAGATCGACAATTATTAAATGGGACCTGAAACTGAGAAGCTTCTGTAAGGTAAAGAACACAGTCAGCAAGACAAAAAGGCACCCCACAGATTGGGAAAAGATATGCACTAGTCCTACATCTGACAGAGGGCTGATCGCCAAAATTTACAAAGAATTCAAGAAGCAAGTCTCCAAAACACCAAAGGATCCAATTAAAAAGTGGGGGACTAATCTAAATAGAAAATTCCCAATAGAGGAGTATAAAATGGCTGAGAGACACTTAAGAAAGTGCTCAACATCCTTAGCCATTAGGGAAATGCAAGTCAAAACAACTCTGACATATCATCTTACTCCTGTCAGAATGGCTAAAATCAAAAACACCAATGACAGTTTATGATGGAGGGGATGTGGAGAAAGGGGAACACTCCTCCATTGTTGGTGGAAATGCAAACTTGTACAGCCACTTTGGAAATCAGTGTGGAGGTTCCTCAGGAAAATGGGACTCAGTCTACCACAAGACCCAGCAATTCCACTCTTAGGCATATACACAAAAGATACCCATTCACACAACAAGGATGTCTGTTCCACTATATTCATAGCAACATTATATGTACCAGTTAGATCCTGGAAGCAACCTAGATGCCCCACAACTGAAGAGTGGATAGAGAAAATATGGTACATTTACACAATGGAGTACTACTCAGTGGAAAGAAAAAAACAATGGAATGGCACTAGAAGAAACCATCCTGAGTGAGGTAGCCCAGTCACAAAAAGACAAACATGGTATGTACTCACTCATATATGAATTTTAGATATGGATCAGCGGAGTGTCAGCCTACAGTCCCAGTGCCAGTGAGTCTGGGAAACAGGAAGGTTCCCAAGAGAGATGCATGATACCCCAGAGAAGTGGAACGAGGCAAGATCTCCTGAGCAGACTGGGAACATCAGGGGAGGGGAGAGGGAACCAGGAAAAAGAGAGGGGGATAAGAGGAGGGGAGAAGAAGGCATGGGGGAGCAGTAAGGTTGAGTCGAGGTAAGAATAGAGGAGAGCAGGATGAGAGATACCATAATAGATGGAGTCATTATAGGCTTGAGGAGAGAGCTGACACTAGTGACATCTCCAGAGATCTACAAGGATAACACCAACTGGCAAAGTAAGCAATAGTGGAGAGACTACATTAATAGCCTCTCCTTGATGATAAGGTTGATGACTACCTCATATGCCATCCTAGAACCTTCATCCAGTGACTGATGCAAGCAGAGACAGATACCCACAGCTAAACATTGAACTGAGCTCCTGGAACCCAGTAACAGAGATGGAGGAGTGATGAGCAAAGGGGTCAAGACCATGATGGTGAAACCCACAAAGACAGCTGAGCAGATAAGGGGGAGCTCTTAAATCACAGACTGATGGCTGAGAGGCCAACAGGGGACTGATCCAGACTCTATGAATTTAGTGTCAGTGAGGAGGCCTCAGAAATCTCTGGGGCTTTGGGTAGTAGATCAGTGTTTACCATGCTGTAAGAATGATCTTTGGGAGCCCATTCCAAATAGAGGGATGCTCTCTCAGCCTGGACACATGGGGAAGGGCCTACGTCCTGCCCTGGAGGAAATGACAGACCCTGGAGACCCCCCAAAGGAAGGCCTCACCCTCCCTGGGGAATGACATGGGGATGGGGTGGGAGGCTGGAGGAGTGGGTTAGTGGAGGGACAAGGGAGGAGGGGTGGGAGAGGGAGCTGGGATTGCCATGTGAAGCATTCATCTTTCTAATTTAAATAAAAACATATATTGAGGGAAAATTCATTTAAAAGATACTTTGAAATCATTTCACTGGAGCTGTAATCTGGGGTGGAGAGGGAAATCTCCAAGGATAAAGGCAATTCCCACCCCAGTTAGCATGCGAGTGTGGAACTGCCTGTGACTCTCAGCCTCTCCTGTCTAAGGTGAGGAAATGTAGAAGGGCATCTGTAAGGAGGCTTTCCAAAGCTACTTGTCTTCTGAGTCCCTATCTGTCCTTTTCATGTTCCTCAGGACATAGTGGCAGTCATGTGTCTGTGACCTAGAATGCAACCAGTTTTAGGAACTTCCTCCAAAGAATGAGCTGTAATTAAAACTCACTAACTGTTCTCCCTCACAGGGACTTTTCTGGTTGGCTGGATCTCTTTCTTACAGGTGCTATTACTACTGTTTTAATGCAGGTCAAATGTAAAGGACACTATTTTTCAGTCCTTTCCTTGGTGAAACCTTGTTTCCACCATGATCCCTCTAGCAGCCTTGGAATGCTTCTCCAGGTGGGCTCGGTTCTGCACGTATCCTACAGCACCATGCTCACACATCTGTGAGAACATTCACCCTATCAGAAATGTCTCCCAGTCCTGGGTTCTAAACTCCTGGAGGTGGGAATCCATGTATGAGTCCTCTCTATAAAGAACTACAGAAATGTTGCCTGAAATTATGGCTTTGAGCCCACTCTATAAAGTTGAGTCTTTGTGTCCAAAGGTTTGCATCCAAAGATTCAAACAACCCTGAATCAAGAAATGTTTGGGGCAAAGTTACATTTGTACTGAATGTGTGCTGACTGTTATACAATACAGTCATGACTACTTTCATAGTATTCATAACGCATTAGATATTTCAAGACATCCAGAGATGGCTTAAAGAATGCGGGCATATGTGGGTTGTTCGTAACAACTTCCCAGTTTCCTATATCATTTTACATAGGGGCTTCTTGTACACTGAAGGATTTTGGAAGGGAGTCTTGAAGCCAATCCTGCAGATCCTTGAGGTCTTCTGTAGTCCCAGAATTCAGCATTGTCACTATAAACAGCTGGCGTGTGATAATCCTTACCTAGTTGAACTAAGCTTCACTGAAGATGAAAACATTCTTGGGCGTCTGTGTTATGTGAAGACTGATCTGCAATCAAGTTGCTGAAGAATGCTACCTAGCAAGAGTAACAATGGCTGACACACCCTTTGTGGGATAATTCCCTGAGTAGTAATGAATATGAGGAGAGATGCGGAACTTATGGGTGGTAGTTTGTGAGATCCATGAATGCTTTTCAGGAAAGAGCAATGAACCTCTGAAAGCTACAGTGCTATT